TCTTTATTGCTTAAATATATATATCTTTGTTGTTTAAAATTGTTTAGCTAGTAAAATTTCTGTTTGTGTCTCTTAAAAATATTAATGTATTGCAAATTTGAGGCTATTTGTTCATGTAAATGTGGAAATCTGCGGAAGAAAAAAATTTTATAATCAGAAGAAAATAAAATTTATTAAATTATATTTAAAAATTTTTATTTTTTAAACTTTAAAATTTTTTTTATTGATTAAGGTATTAGATATGTGTTCTTATCCCCCCATTGCCCTCCCACTCCCCCAATCATGCCTTCACCCTCACCCCCTGTTGTTTGCATCCATTGGTTATGCTTATATGCATGAACCAAGTCCTTTGGTTGTTCTCTCGCCCCCACTCCCACCCTCCCCTACCTTCCCTCTGAAGTTTGAGCACTGATCGATGCTTCTCTGTCTCTGAATCTGTTTTAGTTTATCAGTTTATGTTGTTCATTATAATCCACAAATGAGTGAGATCATGTGATATTTATCTTTCTCCAACTGACTTACTTCGCTTAGCATAATGCTCTCCAGGTCCATCCATGCTGCTGCAAATGGTAGGAGATCCTTCCTTTTTACAGCAGCATAGTATTCCATTGTGTAGATGTACCACAGTTTTTTAACCCACTCATCTGCTGATGGGCACTTAGGCTGTTTCCAAATCTTAGCTATGGTGAATTGTGCTGCTATGAACATAGGGGTACGTAGATCCTTTCTGATTGGTGTTTCTAGTTTCTTGGGATATGTTCCTAGAAGTGGAATCACTGGGTCAAATGGAAGTTACATTTTAGTTTTTTGAAGAAACTCCATACTGTCTTCCACAGTGGCTGCACCAGTCTGCATTCCCACCAGCAGAAAATAAGGGTTCCTTTTTCTCCACATCCTCTCCAGCACTTGTCATTTGTTGATTTATTGATGATAGCCATTCTGACAGGTATGAGATGGTACCTCATTGTTGTTTTGATTTGCATCTCTCGGATGATTAGTGACTTTGAGCATGTTTTCATATGTCTCTTGGCCTAATATTATCTAAAGTTTTACATATGTCTTCTTTTTCCCCAATTGACACCCCCATAAAAATTTTCTTAAGTTTTTGAGAAAACTACGTCACGCACATTAGACCTGTTTTGAGTCTAATACTAAAGCAGAGTTTTGCATTTTCTTTTAACTCTATTGATATGAATGACATGATAGAAAAAAATTTTATACTGACAAATAAGGGTCTATTGAAAGCAAGAATTATTGTTCCATTTGGGAAGTTCATTTCGGAGTAGTAATCACAATAATACTTACACTTATTAAGTACGTACTATCTGCCAAGCTTACATACATTAACTTATTTACTCTTCACAACATCTTTATAAGATGGGTACTATTATTATTTCCTTTTTACATGCTGGGAAACTAAGGCACAAAGAGGGTAACTTGCTCAAACTATGAAAGGTACTAAGTAGCAGAGTTACGATTGGAATTCAAAGGGTCTTCAGGCTCCAGAATCCCCATTCTAAACTTCTAAATGAAAATGCTATTTAAAAGGTTAACAGAAAAAGTGGGAAGCTACTTTTCATAACCTAGAAAGTGTTAAAGAATGAAACAAAGGGCCTTAGATTTATCCAAGAAATAAAAAAAGGGAGGAGCTTATGGGAAATATGATATGCCTTTATTATTGTTATTATTTACTATGATTATTATTTTGGGGGTTTTTGTTTTTGTTTTTTACAAATCTCTAGCCTTAGAGATTTGAGAAAAAACTTTACTTCCTCCTTTCTTACTCAGGTAGCGTCTCTAACCTGAGTCTGAATTAAGGTTTCCCAAATATAATGTCTGTGCACTGCTGCAAGAGAGCAGTGTTCTAAAGAGTTGGGAATAACATTACGTATTTGTCATGTAAACTGTTGCCAGCATAAAATTGTTTTTTTAAAAAACGGTTTTTTGCCGAAACCGGTTTGGCTCAGTGGACAGAGCGTCGGCCTGAGGACTGAAAGGTCCCAGGTTCGATTCCGGTCAGGGGCATGTACCTGGGTTGCGGGCACATCCCCAGTAGGAGATGTGCAGGAGGCAGCTGATCGATGTTTCTCTCTCATCGATGTTTCTGACTCTCTATCTCTCTCCCTTCCTCTCTGTAAAAAATCAATAAAATATATTTAAAAAAAAAATGCATGAAAAAAAAAATAAAATAAAATAAAAAACGGGTTTTTTTTATAGATTTTTTGAGAGGGAAAAACATCGATCAGCTGCCTCCCTTATGTACCCGGACCAGGGACAAACCCACAACCTGGGTATGGTGCCTTGACCAGGAATTGAACCCCGGCGACCTTTTGGTGCAAGGGACAATGCTCAACCAACTAAGCCAGTGATGGCGAACCTTTTGAGCTCAGTGTGTCAGCATTTTGAAAAACTCTGACTTACCTCTGGTGCAGTGTCACATATAGAAATTTTTTGATATTTGCAACCATAGTAAAACAAAGATTTATATTTTTGATATTTATTTTATATATTTAAATGCCATTTAACAAAGAAAAATCAACCAAAAAAATGAGTTCGCGTGTCACCTCTGACACGCGTGTCATAGGTTCGCCATCACTGAACTAAGCCATACTGGCCAGGGCCAGCATAAAATTCTGTTAAGAGTAAAAGCTAAAAGTAGTGGTAGGTGCCTATGATTTCCCTGGTTATTTTGTTCTTTGCCTATTTGCCACAATTTGCTAGAACAAGCATGTCAAACTCAAAGGCTAACATAGGCTAAATAAACAAGGTATAAGTTTATGTGGGCCGCAAAAAAACAAAAGCTTCAATTTTCACAGAAACGTAGGTTTATTTCAATAGAGACATGCTGAATACAAAGGGCTGAAATAAATGAGTAATTGTTACATAAAATAATAGAACATTTTAATAAAAGTTAATATTTTTCTTGAACATTAACTTACCAGACACTGAATAACTGCACAAATTAATAAGCACAATGCAAATAAACCTATTTTTCTTGTTCTCTGAAAGTGAAATATTTCCTGTTGTGCACACAAAACAAGTCAGTCCAAGGCTAATGATGTGGCAATCGGCTGCTAAAATATTTGCTGCTAGTATTAGTGGAGAGAAATGGTGCACCCGCATGTAAGGCGCGTAAGGGAAATGAATGCAACACGATTATAGTAATCAGTCATTAGCGAACATTGTAGTTCGTTATTAATAAACATGTATAACAGGATATTGTAAAAATTAAGTTATAAAATTTTTATTAAAACGTTTCTTACATACCGTTATTTGGCTGGGCCGCAAAAACATTCATTGTGGGCCGCAAGTTTGACATGCTTGTGCTAGATCTTTCAAAATGTGTACATTTTTCTTCCATAATAGGAAGAATGCCAGGGAATGTGTCAACTACATCACATTCAACATTTTACCTTCCCCCCAAAAGTTAATTCAATTCAGGCTACAGTAGGTCCTTGGGTTACATCGGAGATCCATTCCTATGGCGCAACATAACTCGATTTTCGCCGTAAATCTGAATCCACCCACATAAGCACCTATGTGTCACACACATACACAGCAGTAATGAAGTAAAAAAATTTTTAAAAGATAACAATTCCTGACCTTTACTTGTGGTAAATAAATAATAATAAACATAAAGCACATATGTACATACGTCGAAATGACAGAACTTTTTTTTTTTATAAATAAATGGGAGATGGCGACATACGAAAGGAAGTATGTCGAGTTCAACGTAACCCAAGGACTGTCTGTATATTTTTCTGGCAAGCCAATTTTTAGTGCTTTGTGTGAAGTTGAAAGTGAAACAAAAGATAAACAAATATGACACTTTCTAATTCTCCTTGGCTTACAGAACAGGACAAAGATTTTGACATTTCATTTTCATCATGACTATCGTGTCAATTTCGCAGACTAGATTAGATGATGAACCCTTTAGAATGAGCCTTTCTGATTCTAGCTCTACCAAGAATTAGTGATAATTATGTGTTTCCTTTTTTTTCGCTTTGCTTTTGTCAATGTTACTGCCTCAAAGGCCCCTTCAAGTGCCTAAGAGACGAAAATATGTTCCACTTGCTTTGTTTTTAAAAAAATAAGGATTAAAAAGTACATACTTGACCATTAAAAAGTAGGCATAAACATAAAGAAAAGGCATATAAAGAAATTTCTGTAAATCAACCTTCTTCTTTGTTAATACTTGTAAGCTTTTCTGAGTATGAATGGCAAAATATTCTAGTAGAATCTCTGAGAAACAGCTTTTAAGTTGGCAGCAATTTTTAAGAAATAAGAGTTTAACTACAGATGAATGACCATAGATTGCCAGCAGTAAGAGCCACAAGACTGAAACCTTAGAGCTCTCTACAAACTAATTTTGATGTTATGACTGCTTTTTAAGGATTTGCTGTATAAAATTAGCCTCAATTTTCTAATTTTCTGAACTGTAAAATGAGGATTAAAATAATTGCTCACAACTGCTATAAAAATCATTATATTCCTATTAGAAACTACTATGACATCTATAACCCGATTTAAAAAATGATTACCTTACAAAAAAAAAAAAAAAAGCCTGCTTAGGTTAAATTACAGACTTATTATGTTTGAAAAAAACAAATGTGAGTAATGAATGATTAATGAATCTTGATAGTATATGCTGATGATTTTCAAATAAGGGATGTATGTGACCTACAAGGAAATGATAGAGTAAATGGAGAGTAGAAAACCTAGAAGAAAGTTAGCAAAGGTTACATACAAAAAGGGCTGAACTGGCCTTTTATTACATGGACTTTTAAATCTCTCATTCTTGCTCAGCCTGTAAGAGCCATTTATTTTCCAGAGATGAAAACAACAAATCTTAGTTGAGCAGTTGGTTGCTATGGCACCTTTAAGAGCTTTATTTTTAGAGGAAGGAAAAATGAGGAGCTATGAGATCCCAGGAAGATCACAAGTGGGTACAATAAATAGTTTCTAGAGATTTGGAATAACAAAATAAAACTTGTACTTACAACTTGAGACTCACGAGCTTTAGGAAACATCTTGGCAACATTGAGCCCATCAATGACAACATCAAAAGGAGGACAGCGTCCCACAAAGTTCTGAAATCTCTTAAGTTCCTAAAAGAGAAAAATCAGACAAAACATTAATAAAGACATAGTAAGGGCTTTTTAATAAACATACTGCTATGACTTTTATTACTGTTTTAGAAATTCAAAATATTTATCTTTTAAAAAATACATAAACACAAAGATACTTTCAAAAAGAAATCTGAAAAAAGCCAGCATAACAGTTGCAACTGCATATTCTTATCTGACACACCTTATAATCTCATAGTGCTTCACACTTCACAAAGTACGTTCCCATGCTATTTCATTTTATCTGTAACCAGCCTTCTATCCAGTCTGTTAAAGTGACACACATAATAGTCATGATGAGAATAAAATGTGAAATCTCTATGTCCTGTTCTGTAAGCCAAGGAGAAGTAAACTTAAGATATGGCAGCCTACCAGTCCAATTGTGTTGAAAGAACAAAGTTCTATAATTTGTAGCTCCTCTTTTGTCATCAAGAGGTTTTTGCTTACTTATGGCTGTTTGGAGAACTGAATATTCATCCATTTATTCAACAAATATTTGGTGAGCATCTACAATGTGCCAAGCAGTGACCAAGGAGGCAAAAAACCCTAACTTAATGAAACCTGTGTTTTAGTAGGAGGAGACATAAAATGAACCAAATAAGCAAGTAAATTATATTATACTAGAGGCCCGGTGTACGAAATTCGTGCACGGGTAGGGTCCCTAAGCCTGGCTGGCGATCAGGGCTGATCTGTGGGGCGACAAGTAGGGCAATGGAGGGGAGGGGGCCCAGCTGGCACCCGCCTTGTCTGGCAGTCTGGCGCTGCCTGCTTGCCGGCCCTGCCCCCTGCCACCACTGCCAGACAGGGCCTGCAGGCTGGGGGCAGCTCCTGCGTTGAGCGTATGCCCCCTGGTAGTCAGTACACGTCATAGCGACAGTCGTTCTGCCGTTTGGTCGATTTGCATATTAGGGTTTTATTATATAGGATTCAAGTGTGATAGAGGAGAGGGAGTTTCACTTCTGGTAATGATGGAGTAGTTTGTATTGGACTAATAAATTCTATATAAAAAAACAACTATTTGAAGGAACTAAAGAATGACTACAAGCAGGCAGAAATTGGAGGACACATTTGAAAAAAGATTTGGTGATTTCAAAACATGTCTGAAATTATTTGACATTACTCCCCACTCAAGTGGAGTCTAATTCCCTTCCTGTGAATATAAGCTCACCTCTGTGGCTGGTTCGATGAAAGGAATGTGGCAGAAGTGGAGCTATCTGACTTCCAGGACTAGGTAATAAAAGGCAATGTAGCTTTCATCTGACTCTCCTAGGATACTAGTGCTTAGAACCTAGCTTTCATAAAAAGCCCATGATGGTTCAACTGAATCCCAGGCAATAGCCAGGATCAATCATCAGACCTGTGAGAGTGAGGAAAAGTTCAAGATGACCTCAGCCCCCATTTGATTACAACAGAACACTCAAGTTAGAATCATCCAGTCTCATCAAGACCTAGAACCATGAGAGAAAACAATAATAGTAACTGATAAATGTTTTTGTTTCATGCTACCACATTTGGAATGGTTTGTTACCCATCTATATAAAACCAGAAAAGAAGGAAAATGCACAAGGTAAAATTTGTCTATACATGGCTTTTTGCCAGAGTCAGCATGATTGGCAGGGCAGATAGAAATCAAACAGAAAGGTGCAGACTTACTGGTTTCAGGAATCAAAAGACAGAATTCAGGGCTGCCTGAGAGGCTAAAAAGTAAAAGAGGGATTGCTAGAAAGGAGGAAACAAGAAAATCTTTGTATAAATCTGCCCCAATCCTTGACTAACCCACCTGTACATGCATGAAGAAGACTCCAAAGAGCCCTGCAAAAACACAACAGATAAAAGACTTGAAAGACCTCAGCAGAGATTTCAGCTACTATCCACTGCAAGGGACAAAGCCTAAAGTCTAAACAAGTTTAACATTCCTCTAAAGCAAAAAAATCAATAATTTCCAGAGGAAGATGATAGAATCCAGAGCCTTTGAAATATGTCCATCACTATGTGCATATATAATTAAAAAATTAATATGAGGAAAATGTGACTCAGAGTCAAGTGAAAAGAAAGTCAATAGAAATCAATGTAAGGTCCAGATGCTGGAGTTAGCAAACAAGAACTTTAAAGTAACGATTGTGAATACATTCAAGAATTTAAAAGAAAATATAGTTATGACAAATACAAAGGGAAAACATACACAAATACAGAGTCCCTGACTCACAATTTTTCATCTTTATGATGGTGCATTCAATAGAAACCATACTCTAATTTTGAATTTTGATCTTTTCTTGGGCTAGTAATTTGTAGTATAATACTCTCTCGTGATGCTGGGCAGAGACAGTGAGCCATAGCTCCCAGTCAGGCATATGATCATGAGGGTAAACAACAGATATTCTATAGTATACTATGTTGTCAGTATTTTTTTTTTTTTTGATACTGTTTTCTGAGTACCTTTAAGGTAAATTAGGCAAGATATGATGTTAGGTAGGTTAGGTGTATTAAATGCATTTTTTACTTACAATATTTCAATTTACAATGGGTTTATCTGGAAGTAACCTCATTGTAAGTTAAGAAGCATCTGTAGAAACTATAAAAACATTCTAGAACCAAAACTCACAAATATGAAATAAAACATTCACAGGCTGGATTTAGCTGACTGGAGATGGCAGAAGTAAAAGTCAGTGAACACAAATGACAGAGCAATAGAAATGATCCAATATGAAGGGGGGGAAAGGTGGAAAGTAAAAGATGAATTGAGCCTTGGTAACCTGTGAAACAATGTGAAACAGATTAACATATGTAATTAGAGTCCTGAAAGAGAGGACAGAAAGGAGAAGGTAGGAAAAAGTGTGAATAATAGTTAAAGGAGGAAACAACAAAAATCTGTGTATAAATCTGCCCCAGATTTTTGTTTTTCCCAAATTTGATGAAAAACATAAGTTGAGCAACCCAATAAGTAGAGCAAATTAAAAGGTAGATGGCAGAGCGCAGAACATGGCGGGCATCAGCTGCAGCAAGATGGTGGAGGTGAGCAAGGACGCCAGACCAAGGGGGGGTGCCAGTCGCTGTCATCGGGGCAAGCCTCTGGTGATTACTAAAAATTCCTTGCTCCCGCGTGCCATGGTCCCGCCCAGCGCTCACATCTGCTGCCAGCGCCGGCCCCACTCACACCTGCTACCACTGCTCGAAGCCCCTGCTGGCGCCGGACCCGCTCACACCCATAGCCAGTGCCGTCGCTCGCACCCGCTGCTGGCGTTGGACCCAATCACTCCACGCCGGCAGCGGGTACGAGCGGGGCCGGTGCTGTCAGCATGTGGGAGCAGCAGTGGCGGGAGCAGGACTGCCGCAGACAGGGGACCAGGGGCCATGGCGGGAGGGGGAGCAGAGGATGGGCCGAGACCCAGCCCTGTGCCCACTGCAGCCTCGTGGCCCACAGTTCCTTTCAAGGTGCACAAATTCATGCACTGGGCCCCTAGTTACATATAAGATAACTAGAGACCCTATGCACGAAATTCGTGTAAGGGGTTCAGCGCTCACAGCCACAGCTGCCTCGGCCCCTTGCAGCTGCAGCTGCCCTGGCTTCGTCCGGAAGGTCATCTGGACAGTCGTTCTACTGTTTGGTCTAATTAGCATATTAGCTCTTTATTATATAGGACTAGAGGCCCGGTGCACAAAAATTTGTGCACTCGGCGGGGGGTAGGGGGTCCCTCAGCCCTCTTGCAGTCTGGGACCCCGCAGGGGATGACCACGTGCTGGCTTAGGCCTGCTCCCTCGAAGATTGGGCCTAAGCTGGCAATCAGACATCCCTCTGGCAGCCCGGCAGCCATCAGGGGATGTCCATTTGCCAGCGGGGAGCAGGCCTAAGCTGCAGTCGGACATCCTTAGCGCTGCTGAAGAAGCAAGAGAGGCTCCCACCATCACCTCTGTACTGGCAGCCATCAGCCTGGCTTGTGGCTGAGCAGAGCTCCCCCATGTGGGAGCGCACTGACCACCAGAGGGTAGCTCCTGCATTCAGCGTCTGCCCCCTGGTGGTCAGTGTGTGTCATAGTGACCAGTCATTCCCAGTCTTTCTGCTGTTAGGGTCAGTTTGCATATTACCCTTTTACTATATAGGATAGAGGCCTGGTGCACAGGTGGGGGCTGGCTGGTTTGCCCTGAAGGGTGTCCCGGATCAGGGTGGGGATCCCGCTTGGGTGCCTGGCCAGCCTGGGTGAGGGGCTGATGGCTATTTGCAGCTGGTCACACCCCCTTTAGGGTGAGGGTCCCCACTGGGGTGCCTGACCAGCCTGGGTGAGGGGCTGAGGGCCGTTTTCAGGCTGACCGGCGACTGAAGTTCCCAGCCTCTCCTTTTTTTTCTTTTTATTTTTTTATTCTGGGATTTATTTACCTTCTATAATTGAAACTTTGTTGCCGTCCTGCTTACTCCAGCTCTGAGGCTGCGGCTGGCTGAAAGCAGGTACCTGGGGTTTGTTTAGCTTCTATAATTGAAACATTGTTGCTTTTGGGCTCAGAGCCAGGCCGCAACAGGCGGGGAACCTTGGCTACCTCCATCACTGGAGCAAGCAAACCTCCTGCTCGCTTCAGCTGCGTGGCTGCCAGCCGCCATCTTTGTTGGCAGTTAATTTGCATATCTCGCTGATTAGCCAATGGGAAGCGTAGCGGAGTATGGTTAATTAACCTTTTTGTCTTTTATTAGATAGGATGATACAAATGACAGTTGAATTCCCATCAGACAATGGGACCAGAAGACAATGAGAGAATGTTTTAAAGTGATGACAGGACACAAACGAAAAAACCTGTCAAACTAGACTTATATGTAGCAAAAAATTTTTCAAGCTCTGAAGTAAAAAAGTAAAGTGAAATAGGCATTTTCAAGTAAATGGAAACTAAGAGAACTCATCACCAGCAAGCTTGCATTATAAGAAATGCTAATGCAATTTCTTCAGGATGAAGGGAAATAACATGAGATGGAAATTGGATGTAGAAAAAGAAATGTA